TGAGCTCCGTGTCTTTCACCGTGAACGACGCCAGCTTGGCACCCTTCACCTCCACCAGCTTGCACTCGTTGTTTTGCGGCGTGCTCTCCACCGGCGACGGCGTGGCGTACACGGGCTTGGCGCCGCCGGACACGGGCAGAACTCCGGGTTTGAGCGGAGTGCCGTTGGGTAGTAAGAGTTCCGACCTGAACTGGTGCAGCAGCGCCTGGTGAGCCACCGGAGGAGCCGGGGAAGAGGCGGCTGATGTGGCCGCAGGTGGCGGGGAGTTGGTGGCCGGAGAGACGGAGCTCGGCGCCGGATGGTGTCCGAGCGGTGCTGCGGGGAGCAGAGCCTGAGCAGCCGGGCTTGCCATAGTGGTCATGTCCGAGACTTTCTAATGGTTTTATAAAACGACAAAAGAAGAAAAAAAAAAGTTCTGACAGAAGTATCTATAAAAGTTACTTTGGTGAAGACGAACAGATGCTGAGCGAGAATAAAGAGCGCATTGATTGAACCGGAGGAGAAAAGAGGAGGTGATGATGAAAGGAGGAGCAGCGGAGTCAGGATCCGTGTGTGGGAAAACAGATCAGCACATAGTTGAATCAGAGTGAGAGGAGGACTGTCTCCGAGCTGGAGATGCTACTGTCACATTGAGTGAGAGAGGAGGAGTCTGGCCATGAGAGAGAGAGAGACATTCACAAACAGAGAGGGGGAGAGAGGGAGAGAGGGGAGAGATCAGCCCACATAAACTTTGGATAAGCCTATTTGTTAACGCCTACAACAGCACACTTTTAATATGAACACGTTTCTGTGACCTTAATCATCTACTTGACACTTGAAAGCATCTCATTAATGTCACTCGATATAAACCCGGGTCTGACAGTTGAGCAATCACAGCCTTTAATTCTTTTTTGGAGAAAATAAAATCATACGATATTTATATATTAAATATTACACATTAAAACCAATGATTTAAAAAATGCCATAATGAACAATAATTTGGCTCCTTCTGTACATGACGAAGTAAATTCATCAGCACATCAAGCTATGGATCCTGCTGTATACATGCTGTATAGCCAATGAACGCCTGACATAACACGTGATAACAGACACGAGTGACGTGTGACGTAAATAGTAACGAAAACGCTACAGTTTTGTTAGTAAAAGCATGTAATGTGCTATTGAAAATACGCTAATTTTCCTCATAATATTATAACTCGATACTATTGTTATATTACTACAATACTATACAATTTGTACTATGACATTATCTGACTATCCAATGATGCAAACTGTTAATAAAATCTACAGAGAATGTCAGAAGTATTGGGTTTTGAGAAAGCATGTGTGGCGGAAAAGTATGTGAGGGTGGTGCAACATATGTACAAAGACAGCATGACAGTGATGAGCTGTGCAGTCAGAGTGACAGATGGGTGTCTGGGTAGCAGTACTCGGAACCAGGCTTTGGGGCCCTGTTTGCATTCAGTGTTGATGGACAGGTAGGCGGGTTAGGTCAGGGGGGAGGAGCTAAGGAAAGTAATGAAGGTTGGCAGAGATGCAGAGAAAATGAAATGAACCAGGATGGACACAACATAAAACAAGCAGATCAGATGAACAGTTAAGGTTAGTAATAACAGGAAGTACAGTCCGAGTTGAGTTGGTCTGGAGAGACAGAACAGGAACTGTTGTTGAAGATGAAGACGAAGGATGATTCCAGAGACTATTGACAGATGTATTGAAGATGGAGGTGAGATGATCAAAGTCTGAAGGCAGCAGCGAAAAGTAGAACAAATATCAAAATGTGTCGTTCCGTCATGTAAATATAGCATATTTGAAAAATTATGTTTATATCAGGTGTTGTTAAAGCTTCTGGGAATCCGAAAAAATGAATCCAACAAAACAGATATATTTTGTCTCTGACTGTATGTTGTTCAAGAACGGCAGAAGTCTGGATCACAGTGTGAAGTGGAGAAGGAGCCAGAAAGCTCATAAAAAAGAGAGAGAGAAGGGGGGCAATAACCTTGGTTTGACAAATTGACCCCTTTACCTGGTCTCTTGTACCACTTTCTCATGCAGTCTGCTCCCTCACACACACACACACACACACACACACACACCCATCATTTACATATGGAGCTCGCAGTCCTTTCAAAGTGGCTTTCACGGAACATTGTGCTGATAATGATCTCGGTCGTGAGGGAGAAAGACACACACACACACACACACACACACACACACACACACTCACAGATCTCCGGAGACCATCTCGCCATAAGACAAGGGGGAAGAGGATAAAACTCTGACTGTACCCCAACTCAAAGGACTGGAACACTTTTTCCCCCTCCACCCCCCCTCCCTCTCCAATAAGCCCTCTTGTGTTTTTTAATTGGCAGAAATTAATCTTTAGGATGTAGATGGTAGATTTACATTCATTAAAAGTCAAGAGAGGAAGCCAGGCTTGATGCTAATCAAATCTGCTTAATTATGCTTAACATGAGTATCTCCAGGGGGAGAGAGAGAGGGAGAGAGAGGGAGAGAGAGATAGCTAAGTCGAACTTTTTACTTTTTGCCTTTGATAACTCCTGCTGAGTATGGCCTTTTCCTTGCCAAAAAGAAATGTCACGACTCTCTCTCTCTCTGTCTGTGGAAAACACACGGATAAAGGCGTCACCGCGGAGCCGACCTGATTCATGTTCTAAATTCACACTTTAAAATGTCTGTTATCGACGAAAAGAAAAAGAAAGAAAAAGTCACATTTGTTCACCTCGCCGAAGCTGTTTGACTTCATTCAGGGTTAGGGAATCAAGTGATATCAGATGTAAGTGAATATAACGGATTAAAAAGGGTCAAAGTGGTTGTTTATAAAATTCAATGTTTTGTTTTACTTTAGGGATTAAAAAGGGTCAAAGTGGTTGTTTTTAAAATTCAATGTTTTGTTTTGTTTTACTTTAACTACTGAAAAATTAAGTATTTGATTCAATGTATGTTTGTTAGTTCCCAGCATGCTCTGGTGGGACGTGACATTTTCTCGCAACAGGAAGGTCATAATGTAGCTCTCATTCAAAACGCCTGAAACTCCCTTCATATGAAACAATAGGTGTCGCTTAATGTAAAAAAGAGGCAGGAAATTCCCTGAATCTGAATAATCTAAAGTGTATGATTTTACGACATAAACAAAAAATGTGTTTATTTTGTTTGGAGTGTTGTCGTCAAATGTGGTTCAGTGCTGGTAGAGCAGCGGCGTGTGTCTTGTCGCGCGTCTCGTTCCTAATCCTCAGAGTTTCCAGGCCATCCATCTCTCCAGGTGGATACATTCTCCCCTCACTAAATATAACCATGTTAATTAATAATTGATATCTCCTTTGATCCCTCTAATTGCTCTGGTACACTATTATTCTCGGTGTTAACCTTCACCACTCGGCCTAGTTCATGGGACTGCACGAGTGACACGTACCAAAAAAAGCCGGTACTTTTGGTATTTTAACATCAGGGACAGTTAGAGACAGGAGCAGGGTGCAACAGCCCAGTGGACAGATGAGGAAATTACACCTGCTATTTCACCAACAATGTGTGTGAGTTTGTTTTTTAAAACATTAATTTTTGATTCACAGTTTAAGTAATGCTCTATTTAATGGAAAACAGGAGACACTTTTTTTTAATTAAAACTATTGTGTGTAAAAGCTCTGCTCACTTTCTATTTAATTTATCTTTTTTTAATTATTTTGATTCATTTTATAATATACTTTATATATGTCGTTATTGGTTTTTTTTTCTAATTTGATGATAATGTTTAAAGACTTTTCGTCTAAGACTTAGCTTGGTTTGCGCTCACACACACACGCTGCACATACCTCCCACTACTTCCAGTTAGTCGCATATTGATTGAATCCTAACCTAGGACGTACAAGTACTCGGCAAGTACACAAATTATAATTATCTGGACAGTATCTGGACCCTGGCAGAAACCACTGCTTAATGTGCATAACCCTTCAATCCCTTTGTAAAATTTCATTAAAAACAACTACCAAATTGGACAACGTTGAAGCGTTGATCCAGTGTCTCTGGCAGGAGGGAGTTCTGCATAATTATTATGACCAGACAACA